CACAAATGAACTTAGAGTTTGCCTTTCTTTGTAGTAATAAGTAGGTTTTCCTCTCTGTATAAATCTTATATCCACTTATGGAATATGAAAATTACTTTGTAGGAAGCCTTTGCCACGTAGTTAATCAATTCATTCAAACCTTCGCCATCAGGACCATTCCCTTACCACTCCTACAACTTCACCTAATGCAGTAAAAAGTTTTCCCCACACAATATATATAAATATATATTGGAAAAGTGCAACTCTAAATGAAACATCATGAGTCATGACTAGATCCTATCGATGCGCTATAGATTGCATGTACGCATTAAAATTTACAACTCACAATATAAACTTAACAATTATTGGGTCATGCTTTCAAATTTTTTTTTTTCCTCCTTTCCCTTTATTTTTTCCTGACCAATTTCAAGACATATATCAAAAGCATAAATGAAATGAGAACAATTCTATTTGAATGTACAAACACAAATCAACATAATTAAAGCACAAGGGAATTTGAAACTAACTTCTCCCCGTCCATGTCAGGAATGTCACTACTTGCATCCTTCTTCAAAATCACCTGAATGAAAGCTCAAATTAGAATATAGGATATATCTACTGAATGCATAGGAAGTAAACATATTTGATGCAGTGAAATTCTTACTGGTATGCGATTTGGGTGTGTCTCCCTCAAAACACGAGCATCTAAACAAGGACTATGGTCTTTGTGGCCATTCATTTGATTCCTTATTATCCTGTATCAAAAGCGTAAATGAAAAAAAGAAAAGAAAAGAAAAGAAAAAAAGGAATCCCATTCCAGTAAAATCAAGATAAGCAAAGCACAAGTGAATCAAAAACTAACCTCCTCCTGGGGATACCACGAATTTCGGTCTTCAAAGCCTTGTACACAATCACTCAAATTAGAATAGCACATCCACCAAATGCAAAGGACGTAAACATATTTGATTCAGTGAATTTCTTACCAACCGTAAGGCATCGAAATCAAAAGGGTCTAGATAAGTAATGGGCCATGGGCTAACATACGCCAATATTTTCCTTCCTTTTTTTGGTGATTTTCTGAACACATATCAAAAGCATAAATGAAAAGGAAACGATCTTTTCCCATTGGAGCGATACAAACGAAGATTTTAAAGCATAAGGAAATAGGAAACTAACTTCTTTTTCCCAATGTCAGGAATGTCAATGCTTGCACCATTCTCAACAATCATCTGCATAGAGGCTCAAATCAGAACAGAGTATGCCCCCAGTGAATGTTTAGGAACTAAACAAATCTTATTCAGTGAAAGTCTTACCGGGGTCCGATGTGGATTGTTCTCTTCTGTTTGGGTCATTCCTAAAACATTTTAGCCCAAAAAATCAGTATAAAATAGATGAGAATCGGCAATTTCCGAAATAAATTCTGCATCTACGAAATTTTGAACAAATATTTAAAGAACTATACTGACCATGTAATTAACCCAAAAAAAGAAGCAAAAAACACATACCCTGAGGATATTCGTTCTTGAAAGAGCTTTCGGCCGTGGTGAAACGCACGCTACAGTTCTCTGCCAATTTTCAAACAAGGAGACATCAAAACCACTTACGAAATTTTGTTTCCTATAAATTAACCCACAACATCAAAGGCGAGGAAAAAGTTGTTGGTGGAAGTATTTCGCGAAAACATAACACACCAAAGATCGATTCGATTAGGGTTTCGGTAGTTGTGAACTGGGAAAACAACAAAGGATCAAAATCAATGAAAGGGAGAGAGAATTATATATACAAATACGATAGATTAATTTTACGGGTTTAATCTCGTGAACAGACCTGTTGGATCGTTTGGATCGTTTCCGATTCCAAGTTTTCAACACGACAGGAAGAAGTCTCTTTGGCAATTGGTATTTCACGAAAAAATCCAGACATTTGAATCTTTCTCTATTTATATAACGTTTTAGGCGGCGTGTTTCATGTCCGCTTCACAACCTATTGTTTTTTCTTTCTTTCTTTTTTTTGACAAAATTTTTAAAAATAAGTAGTTGTATTGTATTGGTATCAAGGTCTAAAATATCAGTGGTATCGGAAATATCAGAAGTCCAAAAATAAGTGGTTGTATTGTATTCGTATTGATTATTGAATATGAATTTTGAAAAAAAAAATAAATTGGTGGAATTTAAAGGGTTTTTTTTTTAATTTTGTCAAGAAACTAAAATGAACTGAACTGAATTTACCTTATTAACGAAATGAACTAAAACAGCACGAGTGAACTTTCACAAGCCCAATCCCTTTTTGTATATATTTTTTTGTCCATTTTACCATGCACAATAATTCAAGTACCATACTGGTAAATCACATATATGTTATTTGAAAAAACTACATCTAAAATACAAAACAGTTTTGAGGTGTCCGCAGCTGCAAAACATTTTCTTTTGTTTTACTCCCTTTTACTAAATTTAATTTAAACATATTGTTAATGTACCAATTTATCTTTGTTTAATAGAATATCTTATCTTTCAATATCTTTTATTAACATAGTGAATTTTTGGGATTTTGAATGTTTCACCTTTCTACCTTTATATAAATAGACGAATACAGAAAAATCAAAACAATTTCGTAATACAAATTTTTTACATGTATGTAATTTATCATATGGGACATAAATTGGAAAAAAAAAAAAAACTTGAAAACATATATAAATATACCAAGCCCTTCAACAAGATTACTACAACAATCAACAACTCAACATAATAAATATGAGATGGAGAATTTTAATTGTGAGTTTCAACAAGATTGCTTTCACCCCCTCTTCCATAAGGCCCTGTCGAAGGATTCCTAAGGTATAATTGCATTAATATCATCATACTTGAATTTGGATTGTGGACACTTGAATTCCTTGTGAATGTGAAGGTGACAATGTCCCAATACAATGTCCCACATTGGAAAGTTAGAAAACCTTGCAAGGGCTTATAAGGAGTTGGGCTACTTCGCCATTGCCAATTTGTTTTGGGGTGCAACCTCATCAACTTCCTTCATTCCTAAGGTATATAGGTAATGCTAGATTTAAGAGAATGTAAATCTGCCTGTATAGTGCCTGAAATGATGATAATATGTAGTGTGTGTAGTGATCATCGTATAAGGGAATCTAATTTTTCTTAGGATTGTGACTGTAATGATGATCATATTGATTTTTCTGTGTGGCTGTTCTAATTCTTTCAATTTGATTTTGCAGGGTCCAGAGAGAACGTTGGACGCTCCCGGTATTGTAGATAATTTCTACTTGAATTTACCAGACTGGAGCAGCAGCAACATTCTTGCAATTGCTCTTTGAAACTCAGTGTTCCTATGGCAGAGCTCACTGGCCATACCCATACCTCCAGAGTTCTCTTCATGACACAGGTACTAATTTGGACTTTGATTTGCACTTTGGCGAATTCAATTATGTTTGTGTATTTGATTTCATGGATTGATTTTCATTTGGAATAAATTTTCATGGCAACTTCATATGGTAGTTACATTTACACATTCTAATTGTTTGTAACTTAAGGTGTTTATGTTTTCAGACCCCAGATGGATGCACTGTGGCCACTGCAGCCGCGGATGAGGCGGTTCGAACTTGGAATGTGTTTGGGATAATGGGGTGTAATTGTATGGTGTTCGAGTCATGTTATCTCTTGTATCCACCAAGTCATATTATCTCTTGTATCAAGCAATATTTGTCAATGTAGCATGTTTAATAAATTGTGTAGCAAGAAGTGAGAAAATTAGTAATTTTTTTATATATTCCAATTAGATATATGACAACATCATTACAATTATATATTCCAATTAGATATAGAAATTGTGTACCGTAATTATTGTGCACGTTTTCTGACACATAAATTCAAATCTCCTTCTTATAATTTAAAATATCGCATTTTCAAAACAAAAAAAAAAAAACAAAAATGAAGAAATTAGCACTACGTGATAATATAAAATTCTTCCAAATTAAGTTATTATCTTATTCAATACTAAAAGAAATATTATAGCTGTGCGACTATACTTGGGTTTTCAATTTTTTATTTAAAAGAAATAGTATAGCCCCCCGGCTCTACTAGGTTTTTAATTTTTTTTATAAAAAGAATTAGTATAGCCGCGCGGCTATACAGGGTGTTTTCCAATTTTATTTAAAGGTTTTTCCCTATATAGCCGGCTATACTCGGTTTTTTAAAATTATTTTTTAAAGAACTAGTATAGCTAGGCAGCTATACTCTGTTTTTTTCCCTTTTTTTTTGGAAAGAAATAGTGTAGCCGATTTTTAAGTTTAATACAAATAATATATATTGAAAATTAAATAATTATACACATGAAATTCACATATTATACACATAAAAAACGAGTATACACACAAAATTCACTTATTATACAACTAATTATCACATATTATTGAATCCAAATAATAAATATTAAAAATTTTAAATATATTATATTAAAGTATTATATAGTGGCTGAACTTTTAAGTTGTAATTTGCCAAAATTTTTCCAAATAAGATGTTGGCACTAAAACTGAATAGATAGAGATGAGTGCAACTTACAAGTAATGTGGACGACCTTAGAGATCGATTGAGTGCTAGATGCTGATTCTTCCTGTCCTTGGATGCTGATCCTGAATATAAGAAAGCCAAGACTCGTAAGGTCTATGGAACCGGTGTGGAACCGGTCTAAGACTCTCCGATGCCAAAGTAAGTTTGTTTTCTAAGAGCTTTTGCTGTTGCCAATATATTAGTATAAAAGTCAAGCTGAAAAGTCTTACCCTTGTATTGTAGTGAAGGGGCCTATTTATAGAGGGCATTTTGTATGCTCTTAGTACTTAATTTCGATGTGGGACTCGTGGGAGGGCCCTATGAGGTTGACATGAGTCTTTAGATATTTCGGGCGGGTGCTTCGAGGTTGATTCAGCAGAATCGATAGGGAATACCGATTGTAGACTATGCTGGGTCTGTAGCGACCGTTTGCTGCTTTGGGACAGTATCATCGGTAGCCGATGCTGATTGTTCGAAGCTTAGGGCACTTGGGGAGTTTCTCTGATCCACGTGTCATTGGATGAGTGGAGGGTCAGATATGGTACAAACAGTAGTCCCCCAAGTTACCAATTGAGAAGCGACTTCTTGGTTGGAGACTTGAATCTGTCTTCGGCATTCTGATCCGGACTCGATGGTCTCATTGTTGCCGATGGTGGCATGTAGTCCCCCAAGTGCCCGAGCGAGTGAGCTTGGAAAAGAGACGGCATGATGTACCGAATGGTCCGAGAGGTGTGGAGGTCTGGTTTTAGGAACACCTACCGTTCGGCACGAAAGGTGAATGAAAACTCATCAATGTGCGCCTGCCGTTCGGCACGAGAGGTGAGTGAGAACTCATCAATGTGCGCCTGTCGTTCGGCACGAGAGGTGAGTGAGAACTCATCAATGTGCGCCTGCCGTTCGGCACGAGAGGTGAGTGAGAACTCATCAATGTGCGCCTGTCGTTCGGCACGAGAGGTGAGTGAGAACTCATCAAAGTGCGCCTGCCATTCGGCACGAGAGGTGAGTGAGGACTCATCAAAGTGCGCCTGCCGTTCGGCACGAGAGGTGAGTGAGGACTCATCAATGTGCCCCTGCCGTTCGGCACGAGAGGTGAGTGAGGACTCATCAATGTGCGCCTGCCGTTCGACACGAGAGGTGAGTGAGGACTCATCAAAGTGCGCCTGCCATTCGACGTTTCGAATGATGATGCTTGAACTCCCCCTGCATGCGTGACACATGTTGGCATGGCTGTGAAGAGTCTTGTCGTTTCATATCCCGATGCGTCGCTTCACTTCCCGATGCTAGGTTCGTCCTATAAATGTAAGGAAGGGACGATAGTTGGAATACTTGAAGATTTTGAGAGCAATCAGAGCTTGTGAGAGGCGATTTCCGGCAACCGTGTGAAGGCTGAGCAGGCGATTTCGGGCGAGGTTGATCAAGCCGGAGGCGATTTCCGGCGTGCTTGAACCACCGTGTGAACAAGGTATGTAGCTGTGTTTACGAGTTTTCATGAATCAAAGTGTTGAATTCGATGAATTTTTGTTTGAATAAAGCATGAACAAGTATGAACAAGCATGAACATAGGTGTTTAGGTGGTAGAATAGGACTTTTGATTCTAGCATGGCCCTTTGTGTCCCTTCGTCTGTGTTTGTAGATGTCAGATACCGAATTCGAGAGTAGGCGTAGTCCAAGGGCATACGAGGACGAATCGTCCTTGGGGAGTTCGTCAAAGGGGAGTGAGAGTACCGATTCTGGGAGCTCTTCAAGTTGTGAGATAGTGGAGCGGGCAGGAATGCGCACCGAAGCTGGTGGCACTTCGCGTGGATTGCCTCAAGGTAGTGAGCCTTCGACTTCGGGTCGTGAGGCCGGCGCAGGTGACGTGTCCGTTGCTGCGCCAGGGGAAGGGGTGCTGAGGGTTGTCACTGGCAGGCAACGGATCCCGATGGCGAAGCCGAAGGAACTTGTGTTCGGAGTAGATCACTTAGAGCCGAACACACTGACCGAGGCTGAGCTGGCTAAGATTCGGGTGGAGTTTAATATTCCGGAATCGGTGGTGATGCGAATTCTGGAGCCCTTAGAGTCGTTGAGTGACAATGACAAGGGAGTGGTCTTCTTCACCGATGTTTTTAAGCATGGGCTTCGGCTGCCGTTGAGGCATTCGGTGCAGAAGATCCTGGCGGCACTTGGATTACATTGCTCGGGACGATCGCTGCATTCGGCATAGCTGGGGAGGGAGAGCCGAGCTATGAGTAGTTCGCCCAATTGTACAATGTGACGAGGGCGAAGAGTGCCGATCAAGGGGGGTGGGTGCAGTCCAACTGTCTTTCGGCAGGGCAGTGTGGACACT